TGGGACAAACCAAAGATCTTGAAGCCAGTTACTGATATCTAGACGAGACCCTAAGTCTCCTGCCGTGGGATCCAAGGCTGTTTCCACAGTTCTATGCCCTTTGCCCAGTACACAGGCAGCATCATTAGAATGAATCTGTCACGGAGAGAGAGGTCATTCAATACATTTGGAAAGTACCATCAGTTCCCTAAAAATAACTTGACAGCTCAGACATTCACTGCTTAAAGACTTAAAACCAAAGTACACCCTGAATTTAAAATGCAAAGAAGCATACTGTAGGTTTAAAATGTTTCTATTCTCTTCCTTGCCTGCCAGATTTATGTAACAGAATCTAAAATGTGGTCACACCTAAAGCTACTTCTACCCAGGCTGGGGGAGGCTGTTTGCAACATAGGTTGGTAATGAACTGTATTGTCTCCTAGCACGTTCCTTTTTGCTTTTGCCTTGACTTCCTAAACAATCCTTTTGTCCTCTTGGGTTTGGAGATGTTTTATATAAAAGCAGCATTATGACTGTAATGATTGAATAACAATTTCAAATTTCCATTTCACTTTACTTATCAGCTGAGATGTGATTTAATGCAGCATGAATAGATTTCCTTCAGAGATGGATCTGATCTGCACTGACTAGTCTTCCAACTACCTCTTCTGCACACTAAAATAACAGCAGCAGTCTGGGCTGGGGATATGGCTTAGGTAGAACATTCACCTAGCATGCCAAGATCCTGGGTTCAATCCCCAACATGGAAAAAATAAATAAAATACATGCAGAACTTATGACCCATGTTTGTGACCTGGTACTACTGTAAGAGAATCACCAACCCACCCAGAGAAACAGAAGTGATGCTGACATAGGACTTCTCCAAAGACATGAAAATTTGTGGGCTTTTATATTAGAATATTCACAGAGACTCTCAAAGGAAGCTAAAATATTTCCATATATTTGGTTTTCTTTTTTTAAAAAATGAAGTACTTGGCCTAAATATTTTGCAAGTAGTTCCATCAAGAATGTACTTCCTCCCACCAAGCTTGAGAGAGTGTCTTTAAGGTATTAATTCTTTTCAGTAAATATTCCTTTCATGCTAATAGAACTCTGCTGAGGGTTTCGGTGATCTGCTCCAGATCTAGTAACATCCAAGACACTACCCCTACCCAGAAGTGGCTTCTCATCCAAAGCACTACTACCTTTAAGTAGGACCCTCGAGGAGCCAGAGTAGTTCTTCCCAACCTTCATGAACTATTACTCTTTTTTAAACAAAATTCTTCTAAAAACTTATAAGCCTTTAAGAGAGAGGGGGAATAAAGAGAAAATAAATAAACAAATCTCAAACTTTTAAGTTTGGTTCTGGCCTTTAGCAGTCAGATGCAATTTTTGAACAAAGTGGACAATAATTTACTGTAAGTAATAAAATAGGATCGATCTTGCCAAAGAGTAGGAACCAAGGATTCAGGGCCATCCATGTGTACTAATTTGGATATGACAAGCTTGTAACTTCTACAGTATTTTATGGCTCTTTCTTTCCAAAGAAGCACACATCCTATTGCACAACGCTTGTGAATATACAAGTATCCTCTGCCAAAGGCAGCTGGGAAAGCAAAGAGTCTACTTCAGTATTGTTTTTCAAACCTGAATTTGTAATGGGTAATTGTTCAGAAATATCTGGTACTTAATAACTTTGAAACTTGGAATTCAGAAAGATTTTACAGCCCCGGGGCTACATGGTTTGATGGCTCAGGTTCATAAATCCACCAAGAATGGATCTGGCCATTGTAACTGTGCTCACTTTGTGTAGTTGTAAAACAAAACCCATAGAGGGTATCAGTTATACCCAACACAGTGCCTGCCTAAGGTAGACACTCAAGGAAGCCAAAGTGGATATGCATTCTGGCTTCTCCTTAAACAGGTTAGGAAAAATATAAACAATATTGGCAAATAAGGAATCACTATCCCTCTTAAACTTTGTTCTGAAAGACTCACATAATACCAGAGGGTTAATTAGTAATTCTTTAGGTATCTCTGGAATTCAAAAATTAGGGAATATCCTGGTATCATCTTGCACAAAACGAAACAAAATTTCTAATAAAATGATCAAATATTTACTGTTCCCTTGAAAGGATAAAGGTACAGCAGTCAGGGGTTGCAAAGAATTGCAGAAAGAGCGGCTGCATCATTTTGTCAGGATCAATGGCAAAGAAGCATCTTATTTCCAAAAGCCCAGTCCAAGGACACAGCTATCCCAATCTGGGATCAGAATTTCCTTGTGGATCTCACCACTCAATTAGTGAGTATCCAAGCTGCTGGTTTTACTCCCAGACACCCTCCTTCCCTGATATTATCACAGTACCCTCCAGGGTGGGCTCCCTGTCCAGGTAGAAAGAGACACAACAAAGCCAAAGTCACCCTTCTAGGCTTCCTGGTAAGTAGCTTCCACTCATCAAAGGATTTTGCCTGAGCCTCAGCAGAGTATCATAATTGTTAAGTGACACCGCAAGATGGATGTTAAATATCAAAAAAATGCCTCCTCTGTTTCAGAACGTGCTTTGTTTTTCCTAATTTTTAACAATTATCTTTCATCATAGCAGCACACAGAGTCCCTTTTGAACCCGTACATGAGTTAAGCAATGAGGAGAGGGTGCTATTTACATTTCTACTTTCTGGCTGTCATCTGTCTATAAAATTGATTATTTTTCAATTGCATTGGAAATTGTTTTAACTTGAGCTCGATTTCTTATTTCTCCTTATCTCTCGCTGGAGGTTCAAATTTAAAAAAGAAAAAAACCAATAACCTCAAAAAGTCAGCCTCATGCAGAAGTCAGCAGGATGAGTTTAATGTTTTGCACAGGAATATTCGCGTACTCATTAGCTTTTGCAAACGCAACATTTCTCATCCTCTTGGGTTGACAGCAAAGGCGCCCTGAGAAAAGAAATAGTACGTCTGTGCGTCTCTAACAGGTTAACATACTGACCTGCTTTACCGGGAGTAAGTGGTGTGGCTTCGGGGCAATTAATGTGAGGACTTCCCGGGATGCTCCTAGTGGCCAGGACTTAAAAGGAAGTTGTGCACAGAATGTAGGGGGTGAGATGTTTTGCTCCCATTAAATGTGTTCATACAAACCTCAAATATGATTGATTTTAAAGCTTCATTAAATGCACTTTTGATTTTTAAAAGCTGCAAAAAAAAAAAAAAAAAAAAAAAGCCGTGTTAAATTAAGAAACATATGTGAGGTGAACTGTGTTCTACAAGTGCTTGGAGGTAGAAATCAGCAGTTATGTAACAAGTTGATTTTTAAGAATTATATATTTTACATTTACATCCAGACAAAACAGACGAGGTCAAGTCACTAAATACCTTTGTAATTCAAATGGAAAGTAAATCTTCACTTAGAAAGGAGGGGCTTAGGATGAGATAACTGTACCCATCTTCTTGAGTAACTGTTAGGGAGGAAACAAAATTTGGTGACTGTGGGGGGTGAAGCTCTAATTTATCGTCCTCCGAAATAGAAGGCAGAGCCTGATGGGCATGGTTATCTACCTCTGGCTGCACTGCGAGTGATTAAAACTAATGACTCTCAGCCGCCCTCCAGGACTACAGCTTCCCTCTTAGTGCTCCCTCGGGCCCTGCACCTCTCAGGTGTCTCCCCCAGCTCCAGCTCTTTAGGGTCAAGGAAAGTTGGGGCCCCTCCTCACTCTCCAGATCCCCAGAGTAGCCACCTCGGTTCCGTGGGCCCAGATCCTCGGCCCCAGGTGCCTAGAAGAGGCCAATCTCTGCTGACCACCCCAGGCCTCAAGACCTCCAGCTTGCCAGTCCAGGTCGCCGGCCCTGCCACCAAGGCCTATCGAAAAGAGCTCGCGTCGTCGGCTTTGGAAAGCAACGCAGCTCCCCTCCCGGGCGGGCGCAGTCTCCTCGGTCTGAGTCTGGGCTGGGGCCGCGCCGGGGCCCTAGGATTTTCACGGGTGAGAGCAGGCGACGCCAGAGCCAGGCCGCCTCCAGCCGCTGTCAGCCCTACCCAGCACCGGCGACAGAGCCCAAGCCCGGCGACCTAGTGCCGCGCCGCGCCGAGCCGGGAGAGAAGCAGCTGTTCCCAACAGCTGGGGGGCGGCGGCGCCCGGCGCCCCAGGTGCCGTCCCGGCCAATCGCAGGCGTCCGGCCCGCCCCCTCCCCAGCCGGGCTTCGACCCCCGGCCCGCGGGGGAAGGGAGCAGAGGGGCGGAGAGACGCGCTCGGCACTGGTCTTCCAGCTTCCGCGGCGGGAGGGACGGACGCGACTGAAGCCGCGCGGACGCCCCGCTGCGCCCCCCGCTGCCACCTCCGCGCTCGGACGCGCTCCCGCCGGCCCTCCGCACGCCCCGCCTAAGGCAGTTTCCCAGAACGAACCATCTACCTCTAAACGCACCCTCGTCTTCGCCTGACGACCACCCTCTCTTTGCATATTTTTTGCCCTCCCCGCGGGGTGAGTGGAAACGCGCGCACATTCTCTAGACCCGGCTCCTAACCCAGACCCAGACGATCCGGAGAC